TCTGCTTAAGCATAGTTTTGAAGCGCGTCCGCTCGGATTCTCATCCTTGGCGATCTTTGTTTGCGCGCGTTGGGGCGCACTTGTGCTTTTGCCCGTGCCTGTCTGGTCCTCCTTCGCGCTGCTTGGGCGGTCTCTTCAACCAGCATGTCTGTTGGAAAGAAAATGGGTTGTGGCATGCTTTGGCCACTTACAGCTGCTAACCTCAAAATTTATCCAGCCGGGGCACAAACCTTTAGTCCATCACTACAAACCATTATTTTTGCCAACATCCCCACCCACCGGTTTCGGGGCCCCTTTAGTGTTTGGACAAGTCGGTCACCCCGGGGCCCGGGCTTTTGGAAAAAAAAAATTTTACTGTCGTTGGTTGTTTCAAAAATGGGCGTTGGCAAGACTGGAAGAATAGTTTCGGCGCGGTGTTTAACCCAAAGCTTAGGGCCAGGGCAGGCATGGGGGAGGTTTGGCCACCTCCTATAACTGCCCTTGCGAAATTAGAGCAATGGTTAAGTAATTGAGCTAAACTCGGCTGCGGGAGGTTTTAAGCAAGGCCCCCCCCACCTAGGTTGGCTAAAAGTAATGGTTTGTAAAGTAATGTAAAGTCATGTAAAGTCAACCCACCGCATGGGCACACCCATTCATGGTGAAGTGGATCCAACCGTGAAAAAAACAACCCTGCCTAAGCAAACACTATGCCCACACCACAAAACGCGCAAGCATGCGCAATCAAAAAACGTATCGTTTTTTGTGAGTCCCCTATCGTTTTAGCAGGTTTCATGCAGCAGCCAACATCCGATGCACACTCCAGTACATACTTAATCAGCGCAAATTTTGACGGAATCTCATATGTCTCTTGGTTGCACATCTTGAACATGCTACAGCAAACTTCCCTAAATAGGTCCATGATTATTGTTTAGGGATTTGCCTCCCAAGGCCCTTTACACAATAGTTTTCGCGCGCAGGGTTTCAGCTATGTTGAACTTTCAGCAAAATTTATTGGCAATCCAGCAATCCTAAGGTCAGGTCTGGATTTACCACATAGAAACCAAAATTTATCGCGTTCGGAACCCAGTGGTTTGATTTGGTCACTAACCATTTGGCAGGGCCAAAAATATTCAATTTGCTCGTCCATGTGAAAAATGCAATAGATCATCGTTTCATACTGGAAGAAAACTTCGTGTTCCAAAGTGGTCACAAGCAGCATGGGACACAAAGCATGGAAACGTATGCCTCAACAGGGGGGGCCCTTTATACCCCTAGCATTTTATTATCCCACCGTAATTGATCCATTTAAATTATTCCTTCTAGTCAGGGGACCCCCGGAAGAAAATTTCTTAAGGTATGGGGTATCGATTTGGCGCACGAATAAACGCAGAAAACAGAGATGAAAAACAGCACGATTTGGTGCACGACGAAACTTCGAAGAGAGCACGATTTGGTGCCTGACACAATGCGACTGCTTCACCAAGCTGGAACTCCACTGTAGCAATGTAGCTTGATGGCTGTGATCACCAGTTCTGTTGGTAGTGACAACTCTTGAACAATTCTATCACTTATTTCTTCTGGTTCTGGAAGATTTTGAAAGATGTGCGATGTGAGACCACAAGAAATTGCTACAGTTGAGCTGGGTGGACGGGCTTAGTGCGGGAAAAGAACGTGATTTCATGGTGCATCATTTGGGGGTCGGGTTTAAAAAGAAACCCTGTTACTGACTGTTACAGGCCATGGGCCAAACACAAGCCATATCTCTGCCAGAATCTTGTAAGTAAAAAACGTGTCTAAGCATGCCCCCACACAGGAACCCCTTTGGTGCTCAAAAGAATATAGTACAGTACTCTGTCCTGCGCTGCCTTCATCCTCTTGGCTTTCTGTTTTCAGTGCCTCGGGCACAAATATCGGTTCTAGAAACCACTTATACATACATCTTTTGATTGGATTGATTAGTTTAGCAAGCCAGGAAAGAGGATCAAGCCAGCTTGCGAATTAAAATGATTCGACCGTATTCGACCCAAATCCCTGGGATGCTCGGGTAAGTGCTTGCAGAAATGTAGAAAACAAGTCTGGATGTTGCTGGTTCTGCTGAACTTTGGACACGCATGCCGCATGATTGACATTGATTGACATCATTGCCGGAAAGCCTGCCGTCATCAAAATGACGCGTGGGACGAAATCTGCTACCCAAGTCACTCCCATCAATCGAAGTTCTACTTCTGCCTCTGACACCGCCAACGTCTTGGGGGGCGTTGGCGCCAAAGCCAGGAAAGGGCCCGGTTCAAAGCCAGCTGCGCGCACCTAGCATCCCAAATACGAGCAAACAGGGCTCACATGGTAGATAGACATAGATAGATAGACAGATAGACAGTATGTGCTGTGCGTTCCACGGAACCCGCCTGTAAGACCAAAGTCTCCAAAGGCAAAGCCTCAATCTCAGGCGTTGTGTTCGCGGGAAGTTTGTCCTCAAAAGCCCGCAGCTCATACAAGCCATGACACACAGCTGTCATGTAGAGCAAGCTGCATTACACACACAAAAAAAAACGTAAGAAACCTTCATAAAGTCATACGGTATGACGTGAATGGTTCAATGATATTCAACGTACAAGGCCAGCTATGGCAAGCTTGCCTCTCTCAAGTAAACTTCAAGACCAATCACGCAATTGCAGAAGGGCACTTTGCTAGCAAGGCTCGTGCGCGGAGCCTCAGAGTGACTGTGATGCTGAAAATCATTCAAGACATCTGGGGACTCCAACATTCAGAAAACAACAAGTAAAAAAAACTGTGCCATTGAGTTTGGCACGGATTAGCACCTTTCTGTGACTGCAATGCATGGATATGCATGGACTGAACTACCCTCCGGACATACCAAGACTTGGCCCACAGAAACCTCTGAGACAACCCAAACGCAAATTCTGGCTCGGCCAGATCTGTACCAAGTGCAGGCCAGTCCACGTGGCAGCAAGCGGAAGCACAAACCCTTCTGCACACGGCCAGCTCGGCCCCGCCGCTGCTGCAGAGAATCCTGCAGAAAAAAGCCGAACAAAGCCGAACTGTTGAACTCAGTTTAAATCGTCTGACCAAAGAAACATCTTTGACACTGCTTGACATGGTGCACTCGGCAAACGTCTGCTTTCATACGAGGCTATGCAGGCAAATGCGCATGCAACATACATGGTATACTGTATGCGGTATACGTACGTTGTGGTATATGCACAGTCCGCACACAGAAATGCATATCTTGCGTTTACATTTGCATTTGTAACCTTTCGTGCTTGAACATATACGGAATCTATGTATATATTAACATATATATATTATATATAATATTATATATATGCGTGTTATATATATATACATATATAAGAAAATATTATAATTATATATATATATAATTATATATATATATATAATAAATGTGTTCGTTCATATCTCACCATATATCATATGATATGACTGAACATATCTGAACACATTCAGCTTTGAAGAGATTCCATGAGATTCCAGCGGCGGAGCAAATGGCCTTGGCACAGAATTGCTCCAACAGCGCTGGTGCCAGGGAGGAGTGGCCATGCTCTCGAGTGAGACGACGTTCACGGCAACTGTCGATAACCTCAGGTTGAAGTTAGAAATGGTTAGACTACGCCAGAGTTGGAACATTTTGGAACACCAGTGTATACCCATCTTGAATAACGTTCGCTGGCAAGCCACTCTGTCAAGTACAGAGCATAAACAAAAGGACTCTTTGGGAGCAACGGTGAGACAACGCAGAATTGCCAAATATCAGGCGGCATATTTCAGCAATGTATCGCTTCAAACCTAGCCTGCCCCCTGGATGGGTCAAATCATATCAAGAAAATTTGCGCATTGTGGTGTTACATGGTGTTACGAGTCTAATATGTGTTCAAAGTCTCGCGGCCCTCGCCGAGAGAATCTGTCGAAGAGCACTTTTAGATTCTGGCGA